AAAACTAAAGATATTATAGCTCATTGCTTACAAAATTTTGCCACTGTGGGCRTTCCAAAACAGTTAAAAACAGATAATGGTCCAGGCTAGACCTCTACCTCTTTTAAACAATTTTGCTCATCATTTGGCATTACTCACATAACAGGAATTCCATACAATCCACAGGAACAAGGCATAGTTGAAAGAGCTCATCAAACTATTAAAATGTACTTATTAAGGCAAAAAGAGAGAATTGGAAAGGGGTATATATCCCCCAAAGATAAACTTAAAATAACCCTTTTTACCCCAAACTTTTAAAATTTGGATTCATCAGGGCTTAGTGCTGCAGAAAGGCATATGTGTCCAAAAAATGTACATAAGCCTAAGGTACTTTGGAAGGATATTCTAACAGGACAATGGAAAGGTCCTGACCCAGTGATTGTCTGGAGTCTGGGTTCTGTTTGTGTGTTTCCATGGGGAGAACAGCAGCCAATTTGGATTCCAGAGAGACTAACCAAAGTGATTTCTAAAGACCAAAAAGAAGATGATTCGACTCAAATACATAACAGCTGATATCCAGAACTCCAGCTTGGCTATTCTTACATCTGTGACAGTGATTAACCAGGATGCTTTTGTCAATATCTATTTTATTATTGCCTTTTCCCATATCATAAAGTTCTATTTTATTTCTTGAGCTCATACAGACCTAGGTTAATGTTTTTCTGATCAGTTTTATTTTTTGACTGTGGAGTTTTAAACATTGCAATGGAGATTTCACCTGTGAAAAACTACAAGGCCTTTACTATTATGCTATGTGTTGTATATATTATGTGTGCACACTTCTGTTTTGTGTTGTATGTCTGTGTGTGCGTATGTTCATATATTCATATATGAGGAACACTCATGAAAAATGGATCAGAATTTTTTTTATTCACATGATTTAAATTATTTAATTTAAATTGGGTAAACAGCTGTTGAGGATTGTTTTAATATGTGAACAAATAAGGAGGTTTACAGATCTGTTTGTTTACTTTCACCTTTCCTTTTCATTATATTTAATAATTCTGTTCAGGATAATGTAAATTTTTCAGAAAATTGTTTTCTTAGTGCCTGTTAGAATGTTACATAATTTTTTTTAGCCATCATTGCCAGAATTCCTATCTTCATCCTAGTGCCGGTGAAGACAAAGATAAAACCAAACTACAGCTTCTTTTATAGCTATCATAGTAAACTGTATAAACTGATGCATCAATGAATAATAACTCAACAAGTAATGCTTAATCAAGGATTCTATTTACTTTGGGAGTAAATGGACATATTGATAGATTCTTCTGCTTTGAACTGCTTGCAGAACTTGCCTGGACTATGTATCACTTGTATATATTGTGAACTATCTGTTGGTGCAGTGAATTGTGGTAATGCTGGAGTATCTTTGCTGGTGGTGTCACTGGTGGTACAATTTTCCAAAGGAGCCGTCAATTGGCTTGGTGTAGTGGCATTTCTGTATCCTTCTCCCTTCTGCTAGTGATGGTCTAAAATTTGGGGGCCAACAGAGGTGAGGCAAAGAACCTCACCCCCCCACTGGCACCAAGGCCAAATTTGGGGGCCAATAGAGGTGAAGCAAAGAACCTCACCCCCCCACACACTGGTGCAAAGGCCTATCCACAAGTATGGCTATATGCTGGACCGGTAGTCAGTGACGGGTATGATCCAATTGCAGTGGTACCAACCTAAGACAGGAGGCTGACGCCTAGAGGTCAGCTCATATGATGACGGGTAAGAACCATACATTGTATTAGACAACCTAACAGTCACGGTCCCTAAGCCACATTGCTTGTTGTTTAATTAAACAGAAGGGGAGAGATGCTGAGAGCCACAGCTGAGTAGGAATGGCATTTTGCCAATAGTATTGGTTGACAGGCGAGGCATTACTATCCGCCTCGGCCGCTACTTTGCAGTTCTCATGCTACTTTGGAGTTCTCCTGGGGATTCCTGGGGGATTTCTGTAGAGTTCCCATTGGTTGGGGAAGTGCAGGAGGAAGATTTCCAGAGGATATTTCTGACTTCTGGTTCCTGGAGGAACCATGTGGCGTTTGGGAGGAGTTCCTGGGAGCTTGTGTGGAGCGTGCTGGTGGAGTTCAAAAATAAAGTTTGTTCCTGCTTCAGTGGCTCGTGATTTGTGCTCAGCCAGACTGCGGCAGCCTCAGCCAGAATCTCAAAGTTTTTCCAACCCTTTATCTGACTCCAAGCATCCAAAGGCATACAGGACTAGGGACACTGGGTACTCATGCTAGGCATAGCTCTGAGCCTGGATTGGATAGTGACAAACAGCTTTGGCAGAACCCAACTTGCCTGGCCTGAGGACAGGTGATTAGGAGTCACCTATGCCATGAATCCTGTTACCCAAGTCTTGTAGAAAGGCAGATTGCACTTATTGCCTTTAATTAGCTGATGGGTGTCCATTATTGTTCTCAGGAAAGAAAGAAAGGTGCACAGAAAAATGTGAGTTGCTGAGGAGCTAATACTGATGATCATTCCTGCAGAGTTTCCATCTGAAATTGGTCTTAAAATTCAGGATTGGGTCCCATTTGCCCCATGTTAAAGATTAAACACCCAATAAACCCGGTGGCAAAAGCAAAATTTTTATTTAAAGGATAAAACAGAAAGAGTGTGAGAGAATCCTCCAGAGAACACGGATCCCAGAGCAGGTGCCCAAGGGAGTAGGGGTGCTCTGCACCTTTTGTAGATTTCAGGTTTCTTCGTTCTCATGTCTCTCTCTTTCTATTTTGCAGATATGACCACATAGGGGGAAGGGAGTCATCCGGGGCATAACTCTCTCTATTTTCCATTTCTGCCCAGACAGTCAGGAAGGGAGCCACCCAGGAGATGTTCATTAATAACTTTTTGCTAGGAGGAACAATTCCCTGGAGGCAGGAAAACTTGGCAACAGGTTGAAAGAGGGAAAAGTTCTCTGGAGATATTAGCGTTTTATTTCCATTTGCCCCAATCTCAATGCCACCAACCCTGATACATTTTTAATCAATTTAATGTCCTTGGCTAGGCATGGGGGCACAAGCTTATAGTCCTGGAAGACTGAGAAACTGAGACAAGAATATTGCAAGTTTAAAACCAGCCTCATCAACTTAGAGAGACCTGTCTCAAAAAGTGCCAGGAATGTAGTTCAATGGCCCTGAGTTCAATCCCCAGTCCAAAAGATGGGGAGAGAACTACATATGGACACTGGACATCTGTGCAATTGCTGCATCTCATCACCGACTTCTCAGTCTATGGTGGCAGTTCTAGAGGGAAAATTATGTCACCTGGATCACAGGCCTCTGTAGTCACTGCAAGAGAAACCACAAGTATTTGGCCATTTTCAGCTCTTGTTGGGATGGGAAAATGGTTTCTGCCCCTCACTAAGACTTAATGTGGGAATAATCCACCAAACAGAGGGTTTTAGGTGCTCAATTGCCAATACAAGGACACATGTCAGTATAATAAAAACCCAGTTATTTTCTCATAATATGCAGCTCAGGGGTAGGCAGTTGAGGGACAGGACAAGGCACAACCATCTCACAAGTTGTGTCTGGGTAGCATGACTTGTTGCCTAAAGGGTCCTAGGTGGTACCCAGCCAGCAGGTCTAGTTTCAAAACAGAAAGAAGGAGGACAGAGCTCTGCCAACTGCATCATCTGCCCTTTTGTTGAAAAGGCAAAATCTGTTCTAGAAGTCCTTAATCAGCATTTGCACATGTCTCTTTAACCAGAATTGTGTCATAAAGCCCACCCTGGAAATGAGGGAAACTGGGAAGTTATTTAGTTTGGTAGAGAGCCACCTTCTTCCCCAAACTGGAACTCTGTTACCACAAAAAGGAAGACTTGAAGATGGGATAAACAATGAGCTCTGTCTGCTTCAATTGGCTGGGTCTGAAAGGGTGATAACAATCACCAAACTTCTCCCCATGCCATCTCCCCAGAAACCATACTGTACGGTCTGGTCTCTATATTAGACAGCTTTCTCTTGCTCTAACAAAAACCAAGAATGGATACTTTATAAAGATATGAGGTTCACTTAGAATAGAGTCAGTGATTTGGCAGCCCCTGTGACTAAACTTTGGTGAGGTTCATCACAACATGGTGAATGCCATCATGGTGGGAAGACCTGCATGGGATAGATATTGCATGGCCAGGAACCTGGGGAGAGACCATTCTTGCTCTTTTTGTAACAACCCACTCTCACAGGAACAAATGAGGGCCCATGTGAAGTGCATTACTCCCTCCCAAGGGCCTCATCTCCAGCGACTGAAATACCTCACACTAGGCCCCACCTCTTCTAGGTTCTACCACCTCAACACTGCCACACTGAGGACCAAGCCTTCAGCCTATGAAGCTTTGGGGGACAAACACATCCAACAAAGCCAACAATATAAGAGCAGTTTGTCCCAGTCTATAGTAAGTATGTATGTGGGGACAGGGGAAGATTGCTCATAGAAGTCACTGGAGGCAGCCAGAGCCACCATTCCAGAACCTCTCTGATGCCACACTTGTCATCATGGCACTCTGCGTGCCAACCCTGAAGAGCCATCTGGTGGCTCTCATTTGTTTGAGAGAAGGCAAATGAGCCATGACGGCCTCAAATGGTTTTTTTGTCCCCACCCCAACCACCAGCCAGAAACTTCTGGCTTTTATCAAGCCTTTTGGCTTGCTTTAGTGTAGCTGCCCTGGTCACGTTGAGTGGCATATTTTTTGCTTTCACATAAGTCTCCCATGCAAGCTTTCAGGTTTCTTACAAAGAGCTAGAAGGGAAAATAGATAGTGATACTAAGGAGGCATGGAAGTGGAGAGAAAGGGTCAGGAGGGGGAAGAAGGATATATAGTTAGAAGTACAGAAATCTAGAGTGCCTGACACATTTAGAAAATTGTGGGTGGCATGTAATGCTGGTGACATTTGGTGGAGTCCCTGTGGTCTGTCTCTAGCCTGGATGTTTAGAGCATGAGTCCTATCTCAGGTGAGCCAGGCCTCATGGGGCACTCTGGGTTGCCCCAGAATAAAAGTGAGTWTGGCTCTGGTTTCAGCTGCCAAGCCCTGGCCCAGAATGGAGACTGGGCCTTTCCAGTGGCCATGGGGCTTCTCTGTCTCCTCATGTTCTACAGCCTTATTTCCATGAATATATCAGACCCAGGCATCTTGCATGGAGGTAAGGCCTCAGAACCTGGGAGAAGAATGTGGCACTCCAAGGGCTGATGACTACAGGGATTATTTCTACAGTGCTCACCCCACCTAGGGCCTCAGGATCCCTTCCCTCCATGTCATCATTAATTAGTCCTTGGCACTTCATTTCCCAAGCCACTGAGGTACAAAAAAACAGAATTCTGGAGGTTTTCCAGTTGCTTTAGGAGAGAAGACCAGGCAGGCTGGCAAGAGAGGCCAGCAGGCTCTTCCAAACCACGCAATTGATCCTAACTCCTTCCGATTTCACACAAGTCTCTAATCACTGATCACTATTCCAAAGGGTGGAGCTCCATAGAGAGCTCTTCTGGCTGGAAACCCCCTTCTCTCTGACTGCCAGCTCATGTGAGTGGTCAGCTTGCTCAACTGGGACTGGGATTCCTCTTCCCACCTCCTCCCCACCCTCTTGTTGCCCAGTGATTTTATAGGGCTGCCCCAAGCAGCAGATGATGGAAGGGCCTCCTTCCACTGCACAAATCCTTCCCATGCCAGGCTCTGTTGAGCAGGACCTGGAGGCACCCTATATGGCACAGGTGAACAACTAATCTTTCCCAATGCCATGGTGTGCCAAATGTAATTTCCACCACCTGCCCCAAACCTTCCACTGTGAGAGTTGCAAGATCTGTGTGGAGGTGAGTACTCCTCCTCTCTCTCCACTTACTAACCCATCCCCAGTCACCTGGCCAGGGCCAGGAAGCTCCATCATAAATGTGCTAGGGGTGGGTATGAGACCATCATTATGCACTTCTAAAAGTGGCTCTTAGCCACTGTTGGCCACTTACATATGTTATCACACCAGTCCTGAGAGGCTGGTGTTGCTTGCACAGGTGCTGATATGCAATGAGTATCCCATCCGTGCTGACTGGGTGGAGTCAAGGGTAGGAAAGGCAATGACTGACCCACCACCTGGCTTGCTGATACTATATACCCAGACCTTTAGGCCAGCTGCTGCCCTGTTGTGGGGATCTTTGCCTGTCCCMCTCTGGGTGTCCCAGTTGGAGGGTTTCCTGGGTTCTGAGTGCTTTTCTCTTGTGTGCACAYCCTGCCCTGGTTTACAAGTGCACAAGGCTGGCTGGGCAAGAGTGTTTCCTTCATCCTTATCCAGTATCTGAGAAAATAGAGGCCCAGAGTTATTCTACATTCTGCTCCAAGTGACACCAGGCAGGTAGGTCTTGTCTCTAAAGACCTCAGTCATGACAGGTGACCTGATGAGCCATGGAGTCCTAACTGTTCTCTAGCAATGGAAATGCCGCTTTCTCCCTGGAGATGAGAGCTCAAGTGTAGGGCCAACAGCAAGTGGCCTAGAGGGCTGGGTTATGGGAGGCCTCAGGATTTGGGGGTGCTGGAGGCCAGGCCAGATAGACCCTCAGTGCTGCCTCCTCTCCCCTAGGAATTCGACCACCACTGCAGGTGGGTAAACAACTGCTTGGGGCACCACAACATCAGGCTCTACATGCTGCTCCTCCTCTCATTGTGCCTCTACCTGGGTGCCATGCTGGCTAGCTGTGGGGTATTCTTGTTACAGAAGAGGCACATGCCCTTCATGGACAGAGCCATGACATATCCACACAGTCCTAAGGGCCAAATTGGGACCAGCTCTGGTGGAGGGGAGAGAGGGGGTGGACAGCCAAGGGGCTGGGTAACTGAGGGTGGGGCTGACTGGGCGGGGCTATAGGGAGAAGTCAGTTGGGAGGACCATTGGTGGACCCGTTGAAGGCCTGTGGAGTTGAGAATGGGGGGTGGGGGCACGGAGTGGGGGAATGAAGGTTGAACAGAGACAGGAGGGACCACAGTGTGGTGGGGTGAGGTTCGGCTTGGGTGTACTGGACTAATGGTCCAGTCCAAGGAGGAAGAGCAGGTGGGTGGGGCTAGCTGGGATGTGACCAGGGAAGGGAGGAGTCTGTGGAAAGGTGGGGCCAGGGAGGAACTGTCCACTGGCTTGGATTCTTAGCCTTTTGCACAGCATCATAGTGGCTGTATCCGCCACCGGCCTCCTGCTGCCACTCATCCTGCAGCTGCTCATCAAGGCCAGAGCTGTGAGCACCGCAAGGCGCCCCTATGAGACCCAGGTAAGGGGGACCAAGTGTGTGTGCCCTGATACCCAGATGGGAGGCGACACCTTCCACCTCTGCCACTAGGCACTATCTGTGCTTTCTCCACTGCCCTTGGCCCTGATGGTGCCCCTGAGTCCTTCTGGACCCACCTCTTAAAATGAAGCTCAGATCTCTCCTCCCCCTAGAGCTGGTTGGCCATGCTCCCTCCTGGGCACATTGCATTGAAAGCCTTGAAAGCCGACTGGGTTATTTGAAGAATGGGTATAGACATGAGTACGTTCATCTGCATTTGTTTTGATAAACAACCTATAATCAGAATAATACTGGGAGACACCCAGAAGCACTCTTGAGAAGGAGTAGGTCCTGAGTGGTGTAGCAGATTGGAAGAAACTGGGAGTTTGGCGAGGCTGGAGTTGTAGAGTACTCGGTGTGTCCTAGGTGTGATTTTGGAGAGGCAGAGGCCAGGATGCACTGCCTGTGAGAGACACACCTGTGCACAAAGGCATGGAAACATGGAAGTAAGGGGTTAACAGAATGATGAAGAAATGAATTTAATTCAAGCACAGGGTGGCATGAACAATGAGGATGACCCCATGGGGTACCATTAGAAAGGCCCAGAAAGTCAAGCATTGAATTTCATTTTAATGTAGTGAAAAAACCTGGGAACCATGATAAAATTTCTAAAAAATATCGTTTATTGAGGAATAATTCACAAATAGTAAAAGTCACCCTTTTTAGTCTTTAGTTAGGGTTTTTTGTACTCTCCACAATGATCAAAGTTAGACTAGTTTTATTGCCCCAGAGAATCCTTCTATCTCTTGTTGTCAGTTTCTCTCCCTACATCCTTGTGGTTTTTCTCTTCCCACAATCATGTATAAATGGAGTTGTTGCCATTTTAGTCTGACTTCATTCATTTAGCACAATGCATTCATCTATGTTGTTGTTCATATCACTAGTTTATTTCCTTTTACTTCTGTGTAGTAGTGTATGGATGCCCCATATATTATTTATACATTCACCCATTGAAGGATCTTTACATTGTATCTTGTTTTGGAGCAGCATTTATGTTTTTTGTTTGTTTGTTTTGTACCAGGGGTTGATCCCATGGGTGCTTAATCACTGAGCAACATCCTCAGCTCCCTTTATTTTTTTCTTTTTGATTTTTTTTTTTTAATTTTGAGACAAGTTTCTCACTAAATTGCTTAAGGCCTCACTAAGTTACAGAGGCTTGCTTTGAACTTGAATTCTCCTGCCTCAGCCTCCCAAGCTGCTGAGATTATAGGCATGGGCCATTGAACTCAACTAGTTTGGGGCAGTTACAAATAAAGCTGTTATTTACAAGAATCCATCCTGTGGTTCTTCCAGCCCCAGGTTAGGCCATAACCATCTTCCTCTGCTCAGAATAAGGCAGGATCTTCCAAGTCCAGGATCCCCAGTCTCAAGGGACTTAAATGTGGTCTGACTGTGGAATTCAACAGACAGGGATCCTTTCCGTTATTTGCAGCACCCATTTCAGGCACTGGTTCCATGCTCCAACTGTCATTGCCTCCCTCTCCACTCCCTGACTGCAGCTCCTCCTAGAGTCATTTGCTTGGTGGTTGGAAGAACACATAAGTCTAAATCACACATCTAGAACTGACCAGCAGGGAGATCTTGGCTATGCTACTTAGCCCCCTGGTCACTCAGTTTCCCTATCTGTAAAACAGGGAAATGTGGGTTAATTCATGTGAGACACATAGAGCAGTGGCTGGTACTAGAAAGTGCCCTACCTGCTGCTGTTACTGTTACTACCATTCCTTCTTGGGGTCAGCTACGCATGTTTGTGTCTCATCTTAAAAGCCAAGCAATTCCCAACCTTAACGTCCCAGGTCTCCACTCCACTTGATGTACCCTCTGTGCCTTATTCCCTGAAAGAGTTGACAGTGCTCACTAGCTCCACCCTTCACTTCCTGGCCCATATCAGCCCAGACCCTGCCCTTGCTGTCATGATGATGTTCTCATCAAGGGGCAGAGCCAGCAGACATTCTTCGGACTACTCTCTCTGGACTAGTCACAGCTTCTAAAGCCAGAAGGAGCTGAAATAGCCCTCTTGCATGTCTTAGTGTTTAATGCTCTGGGCTTCTCTGCATGTACTGGGTGCTGTGAGCTGGATCGCCTACATGTGTCCCATGATACCCTCTCTCTGCATTACCCTGGCCATAACCCATGGTGCTCAGGGCCTCATATTACAGCTGCCCTTACCATCCTGCAAGTAGGCTGGCTGTGCTGTTTACAGTGTGTTTTCAACCCACAGTAAAGTTATTAGACTTTATTTTTTTGCTACTGGATATTGAACCCAGGGGCACTTTACCACTTAGCTATATCCCCAGTTCGTTCCATTTTTTATTTTCAAACCAGGTCTCACTAAGTTTTTGAGGCTGGTCTCAAACTTGTGATTCTCCCACCTCAGTGTCCTGGGTTTCTGGGATTACATGCTTATGCCACCATGCCTGGTTTGACTGAGACATTTTTGATGCCCTGAAATATTTCTGGCTGGGGGTGTATCTGAGTGGTAGAGCATGTGCTTAGCATGTGCAAGGCCCTGGGTTCTTCAATCCCCAGCACACAAAGAAAATTAATATTAACAAATGAGTAAACTAACAAAGGAAAGAACCAACCTTTGATATAGAAGAAAAGAGATAAAGGTACTGAGAGAATCTTGTTGCCCTGATCCCTCCAAGTTAAGGGAAAGAAGGAGAGGTAACAGGAAGTTGGGCAGAAGATGAGGCAAGAAGAAGATGCCACTTGATTTTGGTCCTGTGGGTGTGAAGGGTATTTGAGACACAGAATGAGAGCAGGAGCCCCAGCAATGGAGCCAGTATCAGAGGCTGGTCTGGGTGCTTTCAGAGCTGTAGGATTCTATTCATGTCTGATAGGGTTCCATGTGGGGAGAGGAAGGTATTCAACTTTAGTGCTCAGTTCTTAAAATTTTATTAATTATCATTCCTTTCAGCATTTTTCTATACCTTATATACAATCCACATTTTTTATACTTATCTAATCAAACATTCTTTCTCTAAATTTAAAAATTCTGTAATTTTTTTTTAATACTCTGCCATTATTATTTTTTTTTCTGGTAGTAGGGATTAAACCCAGAGGTACTTTCCACTGAAGCTACATCCCCAATCCTTGCTATATTTCATTTTGAGATAAGGTCTCACTAAGTTGCTGAGAGCCTTGCTAAGTTGTTGAGGCTTGGCCTTGAACTTGTGATCCTCCTGCCTCAGCCTCCCAAATCACTGGGATTACAAGTGGGTGCCACTGCACCTGGCAGAATGCTAATTTCTTCAGTGCTGCGAACAACTTAAGGGAGGCAGAACCTGATAGAGCACAATGGTTTATGTTGTTTTTTGGGCATATTCAAGAGCTGTTCTGATGTGGAATCCTCTTTCCTTCTAGTGAAAAATAGTGTTGAATATCAGAGTCTTCATGTGTGGGCAATGGGAGAGTTGGGGATAGACAAAGGTGCTACTGGGACACTTGCCATTCTTCCAGAATATTTGCTGGCTAAAGCTCTTGAAGCTGGAGTGAGACTCAACCTTGTCTGGGAGTAGGAGGGGGGCAAAGCTGATGGATGAAGTCAGCAGGAGGAGAGAGTAGGACAAGGGGGAGTAGAAGCCAGTCAGTGTCCAAGGTAAATAAATAAAGACATACAGCCTAGGTCTCCAGCTCAGGTCTCCCCAAGGAGTGGATCAGGTGGTGTGCATTGAAACAAGGCTGTCTGTGGGCTGCACATGTATTGGGAGAAGGCCCTCAGGTTGGACTGGCTCTGACGCTGAAGCACTTGGAGTGTAAGGAGGGGGATTATGGACCTGGAGGGTGAAGGGTCCAGGTCACAGGGCTTCACAGCACACTGAAGTGTCCCTGGATAGATAAAAAGAAAAGACTGAACTACTAACTTGGTTGGCCTTGGACCAGTCTCTTACCTCTCTGGGTTCCAGTTTCCTTAGCTTATTAAGAATTGAGACTAGTCCAGTAGTTTATGTTTTAAAGAACATTTTTTTTAATGAAAAATTTTACTTGACATACCACATGAAACATTTGGAATGGAGCATAAGGAGTGCAGTGGGGATGGTAACTCACAATTCCCCGCACCCATGGTGCCAGCCCTCTCCTTTGTCCTGACTCCAGTCACCCAGGGACTTGACTGTGAGCTTCAGGGTTGGGGTTAGGGAGGGTCCCCTTGTACTGACTCTGTGTTTAGCTTCCCATTAGCCCAGTGCTGTAGTGGGAGGTTCCCAAGGGAGGCTTTGCCTACCATTCACCTTTCACACCCAGCAATGCCAGGATCTGCCCCAGAAGTTCATCCCCTGAGCCCCATGTGAGGGCCTCTTGTGCCTGAACCCTCACTGACTCCCCTGTTGAGAGTTACAAGCCCCCATGCCTGTTATATTTTTTGCTGTTTCCTAGGGCTACTCTGCCTGTCTGTCTTAGGTTCAGAGAAGCATGTTTCCTTGGTGGGAAGGGAAGGCTCTGAGGGGCTGGAACAAATCCCTCCTGGAAGGGAAGAGCATTGCTCTCTGGAGACCCAAGCTCGGGAGCCAATATAGTCTGGCTCTTTGACCTTGGGCAAGACATTTAGTATTTCTCTCATCCTTAAAATGTGGCAACAGTAAAAATTGCAGTGACTGACGTGGTCGGCTTCCTGGCAAGGGCTGGAGATGAGAGGAGAGAAAATCCACCAGCCTGGATAATACAAACTGCATCTGAAACTATTCCATAAAATAGAAAGGAAACTTATTTATTGTTAGTTCTAATAGGCTAGTATATTAGTCAGGAATTACAAAGTTTTCAGTTAAACATGAGTAAATTTTGAAGATATAACGATCAGTATGGTAGCTGCAGTTAATTTACTGCCTATTTGAAAACTGATAATAGAATTTGGTGCAGCTACTCAGGAGGCTGAGTCAGGAGGATCATAAATTGAGGATCAGTAACTTAAAGAGAATTTTTTTGTGTCTCAAAAAATAAAAACAACCTCATATATAGGTCAATGGTAAAGCACCCCTGGATTCAATCCTCAGCAGTGGAAAAGAAAAGGAAATTGACAGTTTTGTGTTTGTTTGAGATGGATTCCCACTATGTTGGCCAGGCCAGTCTTGAACTCCTGAGCTCAAGCAATCCTCCTATATCAATGCCCTGAGGGCTGGAAGGCAGGTGTGTGCTACTGTACTTATCTAGAAAATAGATTTTAAACCAGGTTGGCAGCATATGACTGATTCCGCAGCTCAGGAATCTGAGGCAGGAGGATCTCAAGTTTCAGGCCTCAGAAATTTAGCAAGACTTTATCTCAAAATAAAAAGGGCTGATAGCTCAGCAGTAAATGTCCTTGGGCTCAACCCCCAAGTACTGCAATATATGATATGTGTGTGTGTGTGTGTGTGTGTGTGTGTGTATTCATTCTATTATATAGATGTATTTGGATGTTTTTAGGTTTCTGCTTTAGGGCTAATATGAATAGGGATAAAAACTTATGGTTTTGAACATGCTAGGCAAGAGCTCTAGCATTGAGCCACACCAGCAGCCCTACATTTAAATTTGGGTTATTTCTTACTATTAGTTATTGGAACACACCAATTTTATCTTTTTCTTTTCTTTTCTTTGGGGGTGTGGTGGGTATTCCTCTGATGTTCATACTGGTCTCATATTTGTGGGCTCAATTGGTTCTCCTGCTTCTCCCTTCTGAGCAGGTTGGAACTATAGGTTTATGCCACCACACTTGGCTATATAATCTTATATTGATAAGACATTTTACACATGATAGGAAACCTAGGATAAAAATAAATAAATAAAGACATACAGCAATTTAAGATGACTGAGCATAAGGGCATATGGCTATCACTCCAACAGCTCAGGAAGATCATAAGTTTGAGACCAGCATGTGCAGTTTAGCAATACCCTATCTCAAAATAAAAAGGGCAGGCAATGTAGCTCAGTAGTATAATCTCCATGTTTTCAATCCCCTATACTTCCAAAAATAAAAAATAAAAAAATAAAATCTGGGTTTCGTGGCACATGCCTGTGGTTTCAACTACAAACTAAAGCACAAGGATCACTTGAGTCCATGAGTTTGAGACAAGCCTGGGTAAAATGGTGAGACCTTAAGTCTCAAAAAAAAAAATAAAAATAAAACTAATAGTAATGATAATAATAATTTCCAAAACCAGGCACTGTGGCTCACACTTATAATCCCAGAGACTCTGGAGGTTGAGGTAGGAGGATGACAGGTTTGATGCAGGCATTGGGATCTTAGCAAGGCGCCTGTCTCCAAATTTACAAAAGAGCGAGGGGGCTGTGGATGGAGTTCAGTGGTAAAGCATCCCTGGATTCAATCCGCATTACAGGGGATGGAAGGAGGAACAAAACAATTTCACTACATAACATTAAAATCTTGGTATTGGAGGCATAACTTGTGGTGGTGCTTAGCATGTGCTTAGTATGCTTAAGTCCCTGGGTTCAATCTCAAACACCAAAAATAGAATAAAAAACGATTTTTTTTAAAAAAAATCTTTATGTATGTATCCCAACTCACAAATGAAAATCTTAGTTTTAGCTTATATAACTTTTGACCCAGAAATGTAATTTTTAGCAAGCATGTAGAACAGCATAGATTAAGGGTTTTGCCTCATATACATAGCAAAAACTAGCAAAAAATCAACTTCAATGTCATTGTCATTAGTGGTAAATTGGTTAAAATATGGCATTACTATGTATTGGACTATTAGATAATTGTGATAAGTTTTCTTTTGTGAATTGTTAACATTCTTTTTCTTTCATATTTAAAGAAGGATGTCTTCTCTTCTGGAACACCATCAGCAAGTTAATAATCTATTTCTTATGATTCTTGTTATAATTTAGGTTACCGAAAACAAATCTGTTTTTATTTTGCTATCTAAAAGAAATTCAGCCATCAGAGGTAGATAATATTGAATATATTTCTAAAATAGTACTCAAGAATACTTTCCATATGCATTTATTTCATATATTTACTTTTCCATGTTTCATAAAATCACCTTTACTTCTTAATTACATTGGAACAAGTGAGGTTTAATCATTTAAAAATTAGCTATTGAAAAAATAAGTTCTTAAAGTATGTTTAAAAAAAGAGCTGGTCACATTTTAGACTTTTAATTTTGCTGCCTTGTCTTCTTTTGCTTGTGTGATAAACGCAGCTGAATATGAAAAGGTCAGAAACATTAGCAATAATAACAGAGGAAGATGATGGGGAGGAAGAGGCCATACTTCCTGCCATTGCCCCAGGACTAGATCATACAAAATCAGTGAGTGATTGGCTAGTGACAATCACTAGGTGTGTGCATCTGTGCATGTGTTTCTGAAAACAGCTGTTTGCGTTTGACTTTCAGTGATAATTTCAAAAAGCCTTCAAGTTTAAAACATTTTAGTATGAGAAAATTAATTTGATTAGATTAAGATTTTTACCTAGAGTACTCATCAAAAACGACCCTTTTGAAAAATAAAAATCTAATGGCTTCTTTAAAAGTTAGAATACTTGACCCACTGGGTTTTTTTGCTTTCTATATTTTGCCCACTTTTCCAGAGACGTCATCTATTTCTCTGTTTTTTTTTGGTTGTTTGTTTCATAATGTGGATAACTATTATATMTAAAACTTGGATCTTTCCTCTTTCCCAGATTACATATTTTATTTCTCATTTTTACATTTTTCTCAAAGCTTTAATGTCAATTCAAATGGACAGTCCAGAGTAAACTTTCTCACCAACTAAGGGAGAGTTTCAATAGTAATGGCTACAGATGGAGCCAAGAAGAGAGAACTACTAAGGGGAATTGCAGGGGACTATGACATGGTGGCACACAGTGGAGTATACAGGCAGAGCTCTGAGAACTGCCATTGGATCCTGATCTCATGATAGATGGCTATGTTGTCTTTATTCTTTACAATTGGCTCTTCAAAGTGAAAGGGAGGGTAGGCATTATATTTGTGCAAAATATTTTGTGGAAATTAGTAATAGTTATTTCAACACCAAAATTTCTAGTCTTTTGCATTTTATCTTTTTTTTTAAGAAAACCATCATTTTCAAAGTGTGCTGCTTTTTTGCCACATTGTTTACTACTTTATCTTCTTTAAAAAATATTTTTAGTTGTAGATGGACACAGTACCTTTTATTTATTTATTCCTGTGGTGCTGACAATCAAGCCCAGTACCTCACACGTGCTAGGCAAGCACTCTACCACTGAGCTGCACCCCAGCCCTTGGTATACTATTTTAGATCTGGGCACACATAAATTTTATTCATAAACCTTCTGTTTTATTAGTTATGCTTTTGGGGGGTTTTGTTTTGGCGTTTAACCACTGAGCCACATTCCTAGCTCATCTTTTTAGATTTTTTTTTTTTTGAGACAGGGTCTCGCTAATTTGCTTGGGGTCTCACTAAGTTGCTGAGGCTGGCTTTACATTTGGAATCCTCCTATCTCAGTCTCTTAAGCTACTGGAATTACAGGCATGTACCACTGCACCTGGTTTGTAGTTCCATTTTTAAATACATTCATGTTATGGCAAAGAAAAATGTTCCACAT